CGACGTTGGTCTTGACGGAACTGACATCAACGAGGGAAATCTGAAGCTGTCACAGACACTCAATGATGAGCTACGTGAACATGCACGAAAATTGCAGGTCAGTCTGGCTAGTATTTGTCATTTAGCCTGGGCACAAGTTCTTGCTCGATGTAGTGGTCGTGAGGCGGTAGTTTTCGGTACTGTACTACTTGGACGTTTGCAGACTGGCGAAGGAAACAATGATATAATGGGACCGATGATCAACACCCTACCAATACGAATAGATATTGATGAGAGGAGTGTCGAAACAGCAGTACGTCATACCCATGCCCGATTGAGTGCGTTGCTAGCACACGAACACGCACCGCTTGTGTTGGCACAACGCTGCAGTGGGTGTCCAACAGGTTTGCCACTATTCAGCGCAATACTGAACTATCGCCATAATCAGAAGAGATGGCAGGACACTGTGTCACTTCCTGGAGTAACTTTCTTAGGTGCTGAAGAGCGAACAAATTATCCATTGGTTCTGTCGGTTGAAGATGATGGCGATTCGCTGGAACTGACGTCACAAGTAATTTCACCAACGTCAACAGCTCGGATCTGTGGCTATATGCAACAAGCTCTGGAATCAATAGCTGATGCGCTTGCACGAATATCTCATCAACAACTAAGGACATTAGCAGTAATTCCACCGGAAGAGCGTACGTTGCTGCTGCATAACTGGAATCAAACCACGGTTACCTATCCACCTGCTCGCTGTCTTCACCAATTATTTGAGGCTCAGGTAGAACGCGACGGACAGGCAATTGCCGTGGAGTGTAATGGAGATGTATTGACTTACGCAGAACTCAACGCACAGGCCAATCGACTGGCACACCACTTGATTGTACGAGGCGTCAAACCAGATGACCGCATTGCACTCTGCATCCAACGGAGTACGAAATTGCCTGTAGCTATCCTAGGCATTCTAAAATCCGGCGGTGCCTATGTACCTCTCGATCCGAAATATCCCAGTCATAGGTTGGCCAACATCCTTCAGGATTCAGATCCCTTTTGTGTATTGACAGATGTGGTTGGCCGGGTAGCACTAGAAGACCACCAAATACCAATCATAGACATGGGACAGACTTCACCCGCTGACTTATGGATCGATAATCCGGATCTGGCAAAGCTGGGACTTACTCCAGCTCATTTGGCCTATATAATTTATACGTCTGGTTCAACGGGAACTCCGAAAGGGGTGATGGTGGAACATAGAAATGCAACGAATTGTCTTTATTGTATCAACGAAATGTTCACAGCTGAAGATTTTAGGCACACTTCCTTTTCGACCTCCGTTAATTTTGATATGTCTCTATACGAATGTTTCGCACCACTGTCAATGGGAACAACGTTACATGTCATAACACATGCACTCGCGCTCTCACCATCGTCGATCATTTCGACGCTTAGTACGGTACCTTCGACTGTGACAACGATACTCGATGCAGATTCCTTACCAACGTTGCTAAATGCTCTTCATTTGATAGGAGAGCCGCTAAAAGCCAGCTTAATCAAACGAATTCTCACGCACACTCATGTCATTGAACTGTGTAATCTCTATGGACAGACAGAAACGTGTTTTTTTTCAACAATGCATAGATTTAAACGATGTGAAGATGTAGTTGAAACGATAGGCCGGCCGATTGCCAACACTCGAATATATCTGCTTAATGTACATCACGAGCCAGTCCCACTGGGAGCCGTAGGAGAATTGTATATTGGTGGAGAAAATTTAGCTCGCGGCTACCTTAACCGTCCTGAGCTTACAGCGAAACGTTTTCTACGAGATCCATTCAGCGATAATCCAGCAGCACGCATGTATCGTACTGGTGATCGAGCACGTTATTTACCTGATGGTAATTTG